AGAGAGAGAGAGAGAGAGAGAGAGAGAGAGAGAGAGAGAGAGAGAGAGAGAGAGAGAGAGAGAGAGAGAGAGAGAGAGAGAGAGAGAGAGAACTGGCATATCTTCCTCCAAATGTTGAAAAGATGCCGTCGGCCTTTTTTGGGGGGGTGGTAATTTGCCAAACACCCCCATAAGTTGAAATATATGTCACAATGCCCCTGAAAATTGGGCCCTGGCCTTTTGCAATTGCACCCATGAAAAGTTGGCAACTACCGGGGCATTTTGCAAAGTTGGACGATCACCAATAGGGGTACATTGCAAGATGGGGTCCAACCAATGTCTGGGATGTTTCACAAAATGTTTTCATCGCCTTCCTTTGCCGCAGCGTAGCTGCGGCCAGTCCACTTGTATAATGAAAAGGAGGAAGATCCATTCGGTAACTAACAATGAAATCACGATTACACAATTGCAGATTATGCAACACATCCATTCGGTCGATTTCTGGCCAGCCTTGTCATCATTTCTCATCTTCAAAGATACACCCACCTCCCTAGAAGATAAACCCTTTTCCAACACGGTTTACCGGGCAGTTCTGTCACACAGTATATATATATGTAGGGTTCAGCCTCCTGATGAGTCGGTGAAACTCGGACGAAACAGTTTGTCACAGCCCCTCGTTTGTTGTCCTCGTCTCCCTCTCTGCCTACGCTTTACCGGCCAGCCCTGTTTGAAAATATATACATATATATAGTCAAACAGAGCTGCCCGGTAAACCGTACGCACAGAGGGAGAAGAGGACAACAAACGAGAGGCTGTGACAAACTGTTTCGTCTGAGTTTCACCGACTCATCAGGAGGCTGAACCCTCAACAGTCTGCAGAATCCCCTAACTGATTACACTGTACGTGATAATCCACCTTAACCCCGGCTGTGGTTAAGCATCAACGACTGCCCGACAACTGATACCTTGAGGTGGGCACCAACCACTGTCCTCAAGGTACCTGTGACGAAAATCAAAACACACTATCATTCACCCACACCAGATGGAAAACTCTACAGACTGTTGGTTCACACCCCATCATAAACAAGCAAAACACCCACGACACAAAGAAAGGTCTGTCACAGCCAAAAAATAAAATCCAGACACGCCGCTGGCACTAGAGGCACAGCATGGCCGCGTAGTGACAGCCCCGACCATTGCTGCTTGACCTGACCGGAGAAAACCGTAGCAGGGTGCTAGCGAAGTCGTGGTATATATAGTCAAACAGAGCTGCCCGGTAAACCGTAGGCAGAGAGGGAGAAGAGGACAACAAACGAGGGGCTGTGACAAACTGTTTCGTCGGAGTTTATATAAATATATATATCGATATATAAACAGAATATATTCACAGCCCCTGCCTACAGTTTACCAGGCAGCTCTGTTTGACGTTATACATTGTCAAACAGCGTATATAAATATATATCAAACAGAGCTGCCCGGTAAACCATATAGATATATAAACAGAATACATTCACAGCCCCTCATTTGTTGTCCTCTTCTCCCTCTCTGCCTATGGTTTACCGGGCAGCTCTATTTGACGATATATATTATATGTTGCAAGTTGTAACATAATATATGTATATACAAATATATATTCTTATTTTCATCCAGAATATCCACATCCATAATTTCCACATATACATGAAAACACGGTTCAAGAGATTATTCTCATCTCATCACCTATCACATATCACAAATCACTTACCACAGTCCTGTTAGATAGCCAGCAATATGCATCCTTGCACTGGACCGATACTTGAACACAAACAAGGATTCATACAACCGTCTGATGGCATGGATTTGCACCAAGATCATTAAAATCACTGTTTCTTGAGGGAAAGCCATCGTGGATGCCTCCACCTCCGTGGGCGGCACTGATGAAACTGAGCACAACCGTGCACTACCACCACTCGTCGACAAATTCCCTCCGATCAGGTCCCGACCACCGCACGTGCTGGCATTCCCACTCCACCCTCTCCTCTCATGTGACACTGCAGGTGTCATTCCCGGGCACGCAGACGAAAAACACGAGAGAACCATTGTCACAGCACTTGGCAGATGCGCAACAGCGATAAGCTTCATCACTCCCAACAACAGCAGACCATTCCATAGAGTCGCTACCACATAGAAGTGGGAGAAGTACCCCTGCGGGACGCTTGCCTCCTGCACAACCCAACCAACACCACCGCAACCACCATAGCCAGTAGGGGGGAGGGTGTACTCATCACTAGCAATTGGTTGGTTGCAACACTAGACCGGGATAGTACGCAGGTAGTTGTGCAGCAGTGATTAGCACCCGTCAACTGCGATCAAGCTTGTTTTTTATTTYTTTCTTTTTGTTTGGGGGGGGGGGGCGGACGGGGAAGGCGATTAATGCGAAATTACTACTTAGTGAACCTAACGGTAGGGAATTCTGTAAGGTGTCGAGGGTTCAGCCTCCTGATGAACTCGGTGACAGGCTTGATGAAAAACAACCCCTCTTTCATTTTTGTCTTTTAGTGAGAGTCTGGTTTACCACATTTATTTTTATCCCTCATTAAGGAAATATAGTGATCCATTCCTCCGCAACCCTCACCTTCAACTCCATATCACCCAAGAGATACTGCAGGTGAGAACTTAACTGTCGATACACAGAAAGCCAGGGTGCCTCCCTCTCCCTCTCTCTCTCTCTCTCTCTCTCTCTCTCTCTCTCTCTCTCTCTCTCTCTCTCACACACACACACACACACACACACACACACACACAC